TCAGAGACAGTGTGATTGGCACAGGAAAGAGCAGAGTTTAGGGCTGTTGTACATAGGGTCGCTATGAATCACAAGCGACTCGATGGCACATAACAACAACAAAGCATCCTTGATTAGAGCAACTCAAGGTTTGAATTTGTTCTTCAGCTCCTTGAATTTAAGAAATGTGTTCAGCCCTTTAGATTTTCTGGCTCCAGGTCCTTGCACATTTCATTGTAATATTTTACTTTGTCATACCGTGTTGTCTTTTGAAATCATCTGTTTAGCCTTTAGTATCTTGAATTCTTCTTTGGCTTCTCTGTGCTCCAGTGCAATATTCAGAATTTCTTCTGACATTCATTTTGGTCTTTTCTTCCTCCTGTCTTTGTAATGAACGTTTTCACTCTTCCTGGATGATACCCTTGATATCCTCCCACAACTCATGGTGTTCGCTTGTTACTGCTCAAGGCCTCAAACCTGTTCCTGAGATGGTTCTGAAATTCAGGTGGGATAGACTCAAAGTCATGTTTTGGTTCCCGTGGATTAGGTTTAATTTCCCTCAGCTTCAGCTTGAACTTGCATATGAGTAGTTGGTGGTCTGTTCCACAATCAGCTCCTGGCCTAGTTTTCACAGCTGATCTTGAGCTTCTCCAGCGGTTCTTTCCACAGATGCAATCAATCTGATTTCTATGCATACCATTAGGTGAAATCCATGTGAATAACCTGCATTTATGTCTCTTAAAATGTATTTACAATGAATAAACTCTTTTCTCATGGCTTCAGCTTTCTGGCTAGTAATTTAGCCAGTGATAGAAAAGCCTCAGAGCAGGTTGGCCACACCTGAATTATGAAGTCCTCCTGGGGTTGGAATCCCAGATTTGAAGCCTGGTGGGTCAGCAAGCAAGGGCGGGGCTGACAGCCCAGGGCAGTGGCTGGAGAAGGGCTCAGTTCCTCCTCCGCTCCAGCAGGGGGCACAGGGCTAGGCTTCCTGCTGCCCTTCCCCTCCTGGCGGCGTTGGGGAGAGTGCTGCAGCTGTAGTCCGCGAGCGTGGTGGGCGGGCCAGGGCGCTGCGCATTGGTGACAGGGCCGGGCCTGGCAGCGACCGAGGCGGTGCGGAGGCGGCGGCGACTATTGAGGCCGTGGTAGAGGCCACGGTGGCGCTGACTGGGTAACCAGTCAGCTGGTCGCAGTGTCTTGGAGCTATCTCTTTGCGGGGCTCTGCGCCCCCCTGGGCAGTGGCAGGTCGCGGCACCCCGCCAGCTAGTGAGCTGAGACAGGCACACCCTGGCGCTGCGGTGAAACCAGACAGATTAGAGTGGGGGCAGGGAGGAGTGGAGCCACAGAAGCCTTAGCCAGGCCATCCCCAACCATGTCCGACGAGGCTTCGGCCACCACTTCGTATGAAAAGTTTCTCACCCCTGAGGAACCCTGCCCGCTTCTGGGGCCACCTCGCGGGGTGAGCACCTGCCTGAGCGAGGAGCCGGGCTGTCTGGACATCAGCGACTTCGGTTGCCAGCTGTCCTCCTGCCACCGCACCGATCCCCTCCACCGCTTCCACACCAACAGGTACGAACCATTATTGAGGGTAAGCAATGGGTTCCCCACCACCTTGCCTCCCGCCTGAGAACTCATTGACACCCCAGATACCCGGCAGCGAATACTATTCCACCCCTCCCCCACCTTTCTTTCGCCCTGCGCTCTTTCCCGGGCTCCTTTAATGCCCCTGGCCTGCTCCCCTTCCCCCATTTTCACCCCTGCACTCCGATCTTTTTTTCCCCCTCTTGTATATTACCCGCATCCTTTCCCTCCTTCATTTTCTGACTATAGGGACTCCTCCTGTTTCCCCTGATCACCTCACTCCGTACCCTACAAATCCTAAACCCCTACCCTTAATTTTCAGATGCTGCCTGTTTTCATCCATTTACAAAAGTTTAACCCCTTCCATTTCCAGCACCCAGTAGAGTAGATTGCGAATGGATTTCTAATATAGATCAGAAGCAACCCATAGCTCTTGTAAAATCTAGAACCTTTTCCCTCATTTTTTTAACTTCTCTCCTATCCCGGTTTTATTACTTGCACACTCATTCCAATGTTTTAGTGGAGCTCTAGGGAAGGAAGACGATTCTCCCTTCCCCTCCCCATTTCCCTCTTTTAGGAACTTGCACTGTTGGCCATACAGGAATGTTTAAGTGTAAATCTGGAAGATTCCTCATGGAGCATAGCTCTTGGTTTTTCTCCCCCAGTCAGGAGGAGGTGTGGGTGGAAAAGAGGTTAAGAGGGACAGATTTATGTAGATCCCTCTCATCCTGACTGGTGTTGTTGGAAGGAAGTGTGTTCTGGAGAATTCTCCTGAACGTGAAATGCAGTGGGAGATTTGAAGCTGACTCAGACACAACTCCAACCTGTTACAGTAGGTGGATATTTGAGAGAAGACGGGGAAAATGATGGTGTATAGAGGACACAGGTGTCCAGTCATGGAAAATATTGGAACTCAATTAGGGATTTTTGGTTTTGATTTCTGATCCACATTTATGATATAAGCATGAAGGCCTTCTGCATATTTTCCATTCTCTTGACAGAATTAATATAGAATAGATAATTATAATTATAGAATAATTATCAAAATTATATTATGTACATATTAACTGAGCTTCTGTCAGGTACAAAGTGTAGTACCATCCGTACTCAAACAAAGTTAGTCTGTGGAAACATGATGGTATGTTGGAATAATCACACAGATTCAAAATTTCAAAGGGAAATGAATGCTTTTTTACTTTCTTAACTGACTATTCCCAGTGTGTTAACTGATTATTCCAAATTCTCACCATTGGAGTAAGAGAACCAAGATCTGGAGAATAAAAGACTGAGTTGAAGGTCATAAAACCTAGTTAAGCAAAACCAAGACTACTTTTTTGGAATCATTGATAGAACTTGGAACAGGAGTAATGGCTCCAGTGTTATAATAAATGGTTGTTATAGTTTCTCACGCTGACTCACAGAATCCTCTTTAACCCATAATGTAAGTAAAGAATATTCATGAACTAAAGCATACCAAAGGTTGTTTTCATTGGAAAAATTCTATAAAAGAATATTTTTATTAGTTAGATCAACTCTCCAGGCTCTGAGTTTTGCACATACTTGGTATTTAACTTTTCCATGAGAGTAAATCATACACAGAGGAAAGTTAGATGATTTTAGAATTTACCTCCTCTGATAATGAGGGCTAAGGAACTCTGGTCTGGTGGCATGGTGAATAAATTATTTTATGTATTGTATCATTGCTTGCCTCTGGAAACCCTATGAACTTGGAGAAATGATGAAAGTTATAGGCGATCAGGTCTTTTGTTCATAGGGTCACTTAACAACAACAACAACAACAACAACAACGTTGTATCAGGCTGCTGTTGTTGTTGTTTGATGCCGTCGAGTCATAGATGACTGACTCATAGCGACCCTATGAAGGAACGGCCTGAGCACTGTTCATACATAGAGTTTCCGGAGACAAACCATTTCGGAAGTGGACACCGCTCCTGCTTCCAGATCAGGCTGTTAGCTGGAAAAAATTTCAGTTGTAACTTACCGATCGGTCACTCTGTGGAAAAAAGTTGGGCAGTCTCCTTCATTAAAATTTTACAGCCTCAGAAATTATAGATAGAGGTTTGCTATGAGTTGGAACCTACTCTGTGGCAGTAGGTTTTTAGGGCAGATAATGAGGGCAAAGGAGTGGGTACAGGTTTGAGGATAAGAACTCCCTATACAGGATGATGGGGAGTGAAACTATGATATAATAACATAATTTAAAAGATTTCTTTGATTCTTCCTCCTTCCCATTCTTTGTGTTTTTTAGCCCCTTTTCTTATAGATCACATTCAGGTCAACGGTTTTTCAGAATGGGGCAGGAAAGTTGGGGTAAGAAAAGGTTCTAGTAAAGCCCCAGTTTTTCCAATTGAAGCATTCAATTATCCTAGTTTCTAGCTGCCCAGGAAATCAGACAATTCTCCTCCTCCCCATCTCTCTTCTTCTTTTAGGACTCTCTGGTGACCTAGTGGTAAGTAGTTGTTCTGCCAAATAAATCTGGCAGCTGCTTCTCAGGAGAAAGATGGGCCATATCTTTCCATGTGATCTACAGCCTTTGAAAACCCACTAGAGGATTAGTACCAATTCAATGGCACATAACAACTTTCTCCTATATTATTTGGCATTTTAACCCCTGCCAAGCTTAAATTTGGAATTTTCTATCATGTAACATATTCATTGGTTTACTCCCCTGATGAAGCAAATTTATACAGATAGATGTATGCCTTTGAGCTGTGGTGCTGGAGAAGAGTATTGAGGGTACCATGGACTGCTAGGAAAACAAACAGATTCATCCTGGAAAGGGTTAAGCAGGGTGGCTCCTTGGAGGCAAGGATTCTGAGGCTCCGTCTAACATACTTTGGACATGTTGTGAAGAGAGACCGGTCCTTGGAGAAGGACATCATGCTTGGGAGGGTGGAGGGACAGTTTAGGAGGGGAAGGCCCTCTATGAGGTGGATTGATTCAGTGACTGGGATAATCAGGATGGGAGTGTCAGAGACAGTGTGATTGGCACAGGACAGAGCAGATCCTGGATGAGATTGACTCTGACTCGGTGATTAGGGTAATGGGGATAGGTGTGTCAGAGACAAAGATATTAGTTCAAGATAGAGCAGAGTTCAGAGCTGTTGTACCTAGGGTCACTATGAGTTGCTGGTGACTCAAAGCACATAACAACAACAACAATAACAAGAAGTTTATCTTGATTTCTTAACTTTCTCCCCTTCTAGAGTGTTCTACTTTCTCTCCATCTCATAATGGAATTTAAGGGGACTGTATATTTCATTTTTAGGGGGGGAAAATCACATCTAATTCACCTATATAGGCAACGTGATTTATTTGTGGTTGTATTTTTAGGTGTTGTAGCGTTGACTACTGCTTACTCTATGAACAATAGATCTAAACCTTGCCCTATACTGTGCCATTCTCATGATGTAGTACCTGTATCAATCCATCTTCTTGAGGGTCTTCCTCTCCTTCACTGGCCTTCTATTTTCCCCCAGCATGGTATCTTTTTCAAGGACTGGTCCTTCTGGCAACATGCCCAAAGTATGTGAGGTGAAATTTCCCCATCCATGCCTCTAAGGAACACCCTGGTTGCATTTTCTCCAAGATAGACTTGTTTGTTCTTTCGGTAATCAGTGTGGATATTCAGAACTCTTCTCTAACACCACAATTCAAAAACATCTATTCTGTCTTCCTTATTCATTCTCCTACTTTCAGATGCATAGGAAGCAATTAAGTTTGCAAGTGTCCTCTTCTACCCTTTCAAATTCTATCAATCACCAATTCAAGCAACAATTAAAAAATAGACCTGAGTGTTGAATACTTAAATCTGCTTTGGATTTTCTTTTTCACTGCTCTCAAGTCAGCATCAATTCATAGCTCACCCTTCAGCAGGATTCCAGAAGCTGTAATTCATATAAGAGGAGACTGCCCATCTTTCTCCTGCAGAGAATTTGGTGCATTCCAAACTCTTGACCTTTGGGTTGGCAGTGCAATTTCTTATGATTAAGCAACCAGTACCAGATTGATTTCCCCATTCAGTTTCTTTTATTTTGCTTTGGATTTTGGAAATATTGCTAGGAGAGGCTATTCCTTGGAAAGGAGTATCATCTTTGGAAGGGTAGAGGGTCAGTGAAGGAGAGGAAGACCTCTAACAAGATGGGTTGACATGATGATTGCAGCAGTGAGCTCAAGTGTATCAGAGTTGATGAGGTTGGCACAGGATAGGAAAGGATTCAGGTCTGTTGTTCATAGGCTGGCTATGAGTCCTATTTGACTCTACAGTACCTAACAAAAATAGCATCCACCTTCTTGTTAAAATAAGGGAGCTCTTGTGACCTTGTGGTAAGGAGCTGTGCTGCCAATTGAAAAGCTGGTTGTTCAACTCCAAGGGAGAAAGATGAGTGACTTGTTGTTGTTATGTGCCGTCAAGTCGCTTGCGACTCATAGCGACCCTATGTACAACAGCCCCAAACTCCGCTCTGTCCTGTGCCAATCGTACTGTCACTGACACTCCCATCCCAATTATCCCAGCCACTGAATCAATCCACCTCATAGAGGGCCTTCCTCTCCTGCGCTGTCCCTCCACCCTCCCAAGCATGATGTCCT